TGTTTTAATTTTTTATTTATTCTTATTTTTTATTCTTATTCTTACTTGTTATTCTTACTTTTAATAAATTTTTATTTTTTATTCTTATTTATTTATATTTTAATGTTTTATTTTTATTTATTCTTAATTTTTATTCCTATTTATCACTTATTACTTTTCTTTTTATTATTTTTCTTTTTACTATTTTTATTTTTATTTATTCTTAATTTTTATTCCTATTTATCACTTACTATTTTTCTTTTTATTATTTTTACTTTTACTGTTTTTATTTTTATTGGGTTTTGTTCCATTATTTTTCGTTTTAGTTTTTTTTTTTTTTTTTTTTTTTTTTTTTTTTTTTTTCCATTTTGATTTTATCTATTTATTTCAAGTTTGAATTTAATTTGATTTAATTTGACTCCCCAGCGCGGCTCCCATGCCCCGCGGCCCCGCCATGGAGCTCGGCGGCGGCGGAGCCGCGGTGCCCTGCGGGAAGGACAAATTCATCTCCAGGTGCGGCCGGGGACACGGGGGACACGGGACACGGGACACGGGGGGACACGGGACACGGGACACGGGACACGGGTGGGGACACGGGTGGGACATGGATAGGACAAGGGAGGACATGGGTGGGACACAGGGGGAACATGGGTGAGACATGGATGGGACAAGAGGGGAGCAAGGGTGGGACACGGGGGGACACGGGTGGGGACACGGGACACGGGTGGGGACACGGGACACGGGTGGGACATGGGACACGGGTGGGACATGGGACACGGGAGACACGGGGGGACACGGGTGGGGACACGGGACACGGGTGAGGACACGGGACACGGGGGGACATGGGTGGGGACATGGGAGGGACAACAGGGGAGACACCTGGGGACACGGGTGGCACATGGATAGGACAAGGGTGGGGACACGGGGGGACACGGGACACGGGTGGGGACATGGGGGGATAAACGGGTGGGAACATGGGTGAGACAAGAGAGGGACACAGGTGAGGACACAGAGGGGACACGGGTGGGACACGGGTGGGACATGGATGAGGACACAGGGGGAACACAGGTGGGACACGGGGGGGACACGGGTGGGACATGGATGAGGACACAGGGAGAACACAGGTGGGACACGGGGGGGACACGGGTGGGACATGGATGAGGACACAGGGAGAACACAGGTGGGACACGGGGGGGACACGGGTGAGGACACAGGGAGAACACGGGTGGGACACGGGTGGGACACGGGTGGGACATGGATGAGAACACGGGTGGGACACGGGGGGACACGGGTGGGACACAGAGGGGACACGGGTGGGACATGGGTGAGGACACAGGGAGAACACGGGGGGAACACAGGTGGGACAGGGGTGGGACACAGAGGGGACACGGGTGAGGACACAGGGAGAACACGGGTGGGACACGGGTGGGACACGGGTGGGACACGGGGGGACACAGGGCTGGGGCGTTCCTGGTGTTCCAGGGGACGCGGGATATAGAAATAAATAAAAACATAAACCACAAATAGCACATACACGTATATTTATACATATCTCTGTATATATGAATATATATGAATATATTAATATCTATGGGAATATATGCGAATATATATGAATATATATGAACATATTAATATCTATGGGAATACATGTGAATATATATGCATATATTAATATCTATGGGAATATATGGGAATATATATGAACATATGAATATCTATGGGAATATATGTGAATATATGAATACCTATGTGAATACATGCAAATATATATTAATATATATAAACATATGACTATCTATGTGAATATATGTGAATATATTAATATCTATGTGAATATCTATGAATATATTAATATATATGACTATATATTAATATATATGACTATATATGAATATATATGACTATATATGAATATATATGAGTATATATGAATATATATGAGTATATAGGGGGTGCACCCCATCTCAGCCCAGTTTCCCCCAGGAATGAGCTGCTCCTGCACCTCAGGACCTACAACATTTACTACGAGGGGCAGAACCTGCAGCTGCGGCACCGCGAGGTGAGCGCGGTATTCTATTCTAATATTTTATATTTGTATTGTTATATTTGTATTGTATCTATGTCACTGCCATTCAGGTGATATATCTGAAGTTTTCTTTCTAAATATTCAGATTACGTATATAAAATATTTTTATTATATATCTAATATTTTAATTCTATATAGAAAATCTGCATTCGAATTATGTGCATATATATCTGAATTTTTATATTATATTATATATAAAGGTTTATATTTGTATTCATATGCTATGTATAAAATGCTCCTATTCTACATATAAAATCCTTACGTTATATATATAAAATTCTTATATATTTATATGTAATCCTTATATTCTATGCGTAAAATCCTTATATTCTATGTATAAAATCCATATATTCTACCCATAAAATCCTTATAGTCTACATATAAAATCCCAATATTCTGTGTATAAAATCCTGATATTCTGTGTATAAAATCCCAATATTCTACCTATAAAACCCCGATATTCTGTGTATAAAATCCCAATACTCTACTTATAAAATCCTGATATTCTGTGTATAAAATCCCGATATTCTACCTATAAAATCCTTATAGTCTACATATAAAATCCTGATATTCTGCCTATAAAATCCTGATATTCTGTGTATAAAATCCCGATATTCTACCTATAAAACCCCTCTGTTGTGTGTATAAAATCCCGATATTCTGTGTGTAAAACCCCGATATTCTGTGTATAAAACCCCACTGTTCTGTGTATAAACCCCTGATATTCTGTGTGTAAAACCCCGCTGTTCTGTGTGTAAAACCCCGATATTCTGTGTATAAAATCCCAATATTCTACCTATTAAACCCCGATATTCTGTGTATAAAATCCTGATATTCTGTGTATAAAATCCCAATATTCTACCTATAAAACCCCGATATTCTGTGTATAAAATCCTGATATTCTGTGTATAAAATCCCAATATTCTACCTATAAAACCCCGATATTCTGTGTGTCAAACCCCGCTGTTCTGTGTATAAAATCCCAATTTTCTACCTATAAAACCCCGATATTCTGTGTATAAACTCCTGATATTCTGTGTGTAAAACCCCGCTGTTCTGTGTGTAAAACCCCGATATTCTGTGTATAAAATCCCAATATTCTACCTATAAAACCCCAATATTCTGTGTATAAAATCCCAATATTCTACCTATAAAACCCCAATATTCTGTGTATAAAATCCTGATATTCTGTGTATAAAATCCCAATATTCTACCTATAAAACCCCGATATTCTGTGTGTCAAACCCGCTGTTCTGTGTGTCAAACCCCGATATTCTGTGTGTAAAACCCCGATATTCTGTGTGTAAAACCCCGATATTCTGTGTGTCAAACCCCGCTGTTCTGTGTGTCAAACCCCGATATTCTGTGTGTAAAACCCCGATATTCTGTGTGTCAAACCCCGCTGTTCTGTGTGTCAAACCCCTCTGTTGTGTGTGGTGTGGCCGCAGGAGGAAGGGGAGCTGATCGTCGAGGGGCTGCTGAACGTCTCGTGGGGGCTGCGCCGCCCCATCCGCCTGCAGATGCAGGACGAGCACCAGCGCATCCGCCCGCCGCCCTCCTCCTCCTCCTGGCACTCGGGCTGCAACCTGGGCGCCCACGGGTGAGCGGGGCCACGCATGCAGCACACAGGGCCGGAGGTACAGGCAGAGAGCGCCGGAGATACAGGCAGAGAGCGCCGGAGATACAGGCAGACAGGGCCGGAGGTACAGGCAGAGAGCGCCAGAGATACAGGCAGAGAGCGCCGGAGATACAGGCACACAGGGCCAGAGATACAGGCACACAGGGCCGGAGATACAGGCAGAGAGCGCCGGAGATACAGGCACACAGGGCCGGAGATACAGGCAGACAGGGCCGGAGGTACAGGCAGAGAGCGCCGGAGATACAGGCAGACAGGGCCGGAGATACAGGCAGAGAGCGCCGGAGATACAGGCACACAGGGCCGGAGATACAGGCAGAGAGCGCCGGAGATACAGGCAGAGAGCGCCGGAGATACAGGCACACAGGGCCGGAGATACAGGCAGAGAGCGCCGGAGATACAGGCACACAGGGCCGGAGATACAGGCAGAGAGCGCCAGAGATACAGGCAGACAGGGCCGGAGGTACAGGCACACAGGGCCGGAGATACAGGCAGACAGGGCCGGAGATACAGGCACACAGGGCCGGAGATACAGGCAGAGAGCCCCAAAAATACAGTGCGATAGCCCCCGGGACCCCCGGCAGGGACCCCCACCCAGCCGGGACCCCCAGCCACCCCCTGTGCCCCCAGGTCCGTGCTGAAGCCCAGCGCCCTGCCGGGCATCGCGGGGACAGAGCGGGACACCGGGAACGCCGGGAACCCGAGGGACACCGGGAACACCGGGAGCACCGGGAACACTGGGAACACCGGGAATGGCGCAGGTGAGCCCGGGAAGAGGAACGGGGTGGGGAGCAGAGATCCCGGTTTGCAAGGAAAGGAGGGAAAGGGGAAAAGGAGAAAAAGGGAAAGGTCCCCGTGCCCCTGCCAGGGTCTGGGGACACCAGGACTGAGCTGTCTCCCCATTCTGTGTCTTGCAGCTCCCATGCCTGATCTGTCTCCCCATTCTGTGTTTTGGAGCTCCCATACCTGAGCTGTCTCCCCATTCTGTGTTTTGGAGCTCCCATACCTGAGCTGTCTCCCCATTCTGTGTTTTTCAGCTCCCATACCTGAGCTGTCTCCCCATTCTGTGTTTTGGAGCTCCCATACCTGAGCTGTCTCCCCATTCTGTGTTTTTCATCACCCATGCCTGAGCTGTCTCCCCATTTTGTGTTTTTCAACACCCATGCCAGATCTGTCTCCCCATTTTGTGTTTTTCAGCACCCATGCCAGATCTGTCTCCCCATTTTGTGTTTTTCAGCACCCATGCCTGAGCTGTCTCCACATTCTGTGTTTTGGAGCTCCCATGCCTGAGCTGTCTCCCTATTTTGTGTTTTTCATCACCCATACCTGAGCTGTCTCCCCATTCTGTGTTTTGGAGCACCCATACCTGAGCTGTCTCCCCATTCTGTGTTTTTCATCACCCATGCCTGATCTGTCTCCCCGTTCCGTGTCTTGCAGCGCCCCGCGCCCCGGACGAGCCCCCGCAGTTGATGCGCACCCGCAGCGACGTCGGCGTCCGGCCCCGCGGCAGCGCCCGCACGGCCGGCGAGCAGCGGCGGCTGCGGCGGCACCGCTTCTCCATCAACGGCCACTTCTACAACCACAGGGTGGG